ACAATGAAAGCAAATCTGCACATCGAATGATAAACGAAGTTGAAGTAATCTTTAAACATCATCGGAAAACGTAGTGTATGTGAGTTCAAACATCACAAGACACCTGTAGACGTAAATTGGTGCATATAAGCACATATATATTTTGTACATAGGCTCCTTAACATGTTGCTAAGGTATACGCGTAAATGGACATTACTTAGTAATACTCCGTGTGGGAGAATAGAAAATCCCAAACCTGTTACAGAATATAGCTGGTATATCCTTGATCTGAGGCAATCAACCAGATCAGTGAACTATATACATACATATATAACAATAGCGTGCCGAGCAGCTGGTGCTTCACATTTCTGTCGCCAGCAGCTTGGGACAATCCTTATCTGATATCAAATATCCAGCAGATGTTCCTGTATGTGAACTACTATTACAGTTTGGGATCATCAGTGATTGTAGCTTTAGCCCTGTGTCGATGTCAACGAAAGAGATGCAGGGGCCACACCCATGTATTTATGTATCTGTGAAACTTAACAGCACACATATTTCAAAATGATACATTATATTTTTAAGTCATTGAAAAATGAAACAAATTTAATATGGCGACCATGGTTATAAAATTGTTTAAATTCAGATCAGAATTATTCTTTAAGCAGTTTATACAGACACCACGTTGGGGGTCATGCACACACAGAAGGCATGTGTTGTCTTTATTAAAGGGAATATGTAAAGGTCATTGGCCTCTGCAGGGAAACAAAATATAACCACATCCATTTTATTATTTTCCCGAACACCTTAATGTTATATTAAATGCCAAAAGGCAAAATGATAAAATCAATATGGCTGCCTACTAATGGCCATAAGTGAAATACGTTATGCATGCTGTAGGCAATGTTGTACAGGCACATTTACTGGGGTACAACAACCTCACATCCACACGCCCGGATGTTTTGGAAGCGATGAAACTGCAGTGAATCAAGGTAAACGGGCGTATGCGAAGATCAAAGGCTACTTCAGGATATAGCAACCACATTTACAATACTACATACATACATCATGTCACGTTGCATAATGATACACGCAAAAATAGCTGTGAAATGAGCAAAATTACACTTTAAGTGCCATGGTTACTATATTTATGATCAGATTATAAATTTGTTGTAATATTATTTCTTGAATCATGGCATAGTTTCACAGACATTAAGGCTTCTGAAGAGAAAACACAAGGTTACGACGGAATGCATCGACGACCAACGCGCCACGTAAACTCACTTGGTTTCAAGCCGCTTTGAACTGTTTGCCAGTTAGATCACAACGTGTCAGCTTAATGTGGGACCAAAGCCATAGGTGACGCAGGTCATATACCTTTACCTGTTTGGTGAATCAAATGAGCACGAGGAATGTATTCACATTCAAGGGATCGGGATTCAAACCCGTGACTAACAGGTCCTCGTACGACCTGTGGCTCAGTAAACATACAATCTGGAATTATGAACCAGTTTACATGTTTCAGAAACGTATCAGATTAACCCCAAATTAATCTGTTGTATCATAATAGTGCTCACCTGTGTACATAGTAAATGACGAATATATATATATGTGTGTGTGTGTGTGTGTGTGTGTGTGTGTGTGTGTGTGTGTATGTAGATTATGTTTTTTATGTGTTAATAATGCACCCATCTATATAAGTACTAGCACAATGCATTTGCTCTGAGAACATCAGAGATTTTGTAAATCTTCGGATGAAAATTCTTGAGGAAATAACGTTCATTCATTCATTCATTCATTTATTCATTCATTCATTCATTCATTCTATTTATAGTACTGAATTAAATAAATGGTATATAAAATCAGAAACGGTTGAGGTGCATTATTCACCCAATAACTGTCTAAAACATGTCAGAACTGATTGGCACATATGTACACCTTGGCGGTCGTATCGATAAATTGACACACAGGAACATATAACCATCGTCAAAAAAGGTGGAATAAAATGTAGTACTTGGATTGTGACTGCATAGCTGAGTGGCATGTCGCTGTATTTATTAGTGCGTCGACTTACTTCAACATACGATGCGGGTCGAATCTGAACTAATTAATCACGAGGCAGTCTGGTCGCCTTGATAGCTTTGAGATAATATTGACAGCATGTTAAACCAACTAACGCGCTCACTATCAATGATTAATGACACCTCCTGACTATACAATTTACAAATAACTTACGAGATATTGCCCGGACGGACGTTCGTGTCGCTCGTTCTGAAAGAAAGCGACCGCCTCCGTGGTCTTGTGGTAGAGCGTCCGCCCGGAGAGCGGAAGGTACAGGGTTCGATCCCGGGCCGCGTCATACAAAAAGACGTTAAAAGATTGTACTTGTTGTTACCCTGTCTGGCGCTCGGCATTAAGGGGCTAAAACAAGGACTGGTCGGCTCGGAGTCAGTATACTGTGTCTGAGTGGGGTATTCATGTTAAACTGCGGCATGGTATCTCAGTGAGCTAGCACTATAAATCGGCATCAGTCCGGACTAGTACAAGCAGCCACACACACACATACACGTGCATACACGTCGCTATATAAGTGCAATAATCTTGGAAGCGACGTTAAACCCAATTTCACCTCACCTCTGAAAGAAAGCAAAGAGGTAGCCGCTAAATATAGAATACTAAACGAGCTCCCGTGTAATACCAATTTTATGAAACGAGTTAATAGTTGTGGTATCTGACGAGCGAAAGCGAGTCAGATACCACAACTATTCACGAGTTTCATAAAATTGGTTTTACACGGGAGCGAGTTTAGTATTTTATTTATTACTTGCCATTTATAACGTTTTTAGAATTATACTGATGAGTATGAATAGGCTAACACCTACACGATCAACGGCATAGTCCAACTGAGTTTAACAGAATAATACTTCAAACACGTCAAAAGTTGAAACGTATGAATTTAATACCATACAACGGTCCACCTTTAGAATTCAGGCGTCCGTTCCACAAAATTATCGTAGGGCTAATCGCAACTCACATACGTTAACTTAGACTAACGACTGTCGTTGCGCTACAATACGATCGCCTTCTGGGCCTTGCACCACAAAGTTTACAATCACGTCACAATACCCGATGACGTAAATTATGGAATTTTGTTGCAAGATCCATCGGCGGAACAATGCCATGTGACGCCAACCTAGCAACAAGGTTGCTGGGGTCATCGATTGTGCATAAGCTCCTCTCAGTGATCTACCATCTCCACACGCAATGTCGTTGAATAAGCCAAGGGATGTTGAGAGCTTTCAATATTTGTTCGTGAAACGTGTTCCGAGAGTACATTAGCACGCGTTTTGGTATTACACAATGTGTAATACAACTGTATGTTTATTAAACGGGTGATCTCTTCACGGGCAAGTAATAATATCCATTTATCTACACCTAAGCTGGGCTTCTTTGGGTTCCAGGTAATATGCGCCTGAAGATTAACATCTGTGTAGTGGTTCAGAGATTTCCTTGCTTGGTGATATCGGTCGGGAACAGAATTAATTTCGACTTAACTAATATGTCTATGTAGCTGTTGACTGGGGACAAGTCGGTGGTATTCTTAGTAGCTTCATCAAATTGTCCAAAGCTTGGTGGCAAAAGTTGGAACAGATTACAAGCGGTATTTGTGCATGTTCTAATACGTCGCCAAAGCCATAAGTCTCTTTGAAGTGTATATATCAGTTCGTGTTAATCTAGACACGGGTCTATTTCCAGTCGATGTAAGCTGTTTTAGCCGCTTAGACGTGATATGTTCAGATGGGGGTTCAACAAAGACAAGGTGGACCGTATGTTCGATTGACTATTTAAGCTGGATTGGAAATAGACATTATTATATGCATTCTTGTACACAATAAAACAAAGTTAGATATTCTATATGTTGGTTTCCGTGGCATTTGAAAAGCTGTGGTGAGATGGAATTATAGATTTTAATGCCACGTTTCTGTGGTAGACGTTAATATCTTTATACAGCAAGTGATCACTTGCTTGAAAACTGCACTCTCGCCTGTACAGAAACGAAGCATTTAAATAATAACTAAGCTGCAATCCTAAAGTCAACTTCATTCTACGTGTAGATATGACAAAACAGTATTTAATAAAAAGAGTAATGTGCCAGACTGGCCCCTGCCGAAGCTCGTACATACAAGGGGTAGTTTAACCCTTTTGAGTCTAACTATGATGGGCAGGGTTTGTTGCGTGGGTTGCTAATATTTTACAACATAATCACCCCCGAGGTGCACACACGTCTGCCAACGATGTGTGGACCTCTCTGGTGTAGAAAACTTCCCCCTGGTAAAAAGTCATCCGTATTCAAACGTTATACTTTTAGACTCCACCGTCTGCGGGTACATATACAAGAACAGTATTGTAACATTGTTTGTTAATGTGTTAATAATTATATCTTCTGTAGTCTTGAGTGAATGAATGAAATGGATATGCACTTAAAATTCGCAAATATATAACCATATACATCAATATTCTCTGCGTAATGAGCCAGCGTTTTAATGACACGACACATCACATAACTGTGTTGAGATTAATTGATTTTGCCAACACACGGATTTTCAGTGATCCATTATAAAGTTCCTATCACTATTTTACCCTTTACTCCTAATGGAATCTGTTTCTGCAAGTAACTGAGACTAATTATTATCTGGCAAAATTAAAACCTGGCGACAGAAGCAAGTATTCATTTCCATGTATTCATTAGTGTTGACAATAATAACAAAATAACATTCTTTTGTAAAATATACATGTTGACATGGGGTTTTCTTTCTGGGCAGTGTGTTGTCAATTCATTAAATGTTCACATCCATGCTCTTCATGTTTATATATATATATATATATAAAACATATGATATGAATAATACTAAATACAATCAATTTGTTTCGGCGTAAACAATATTTAATGGATGGACCGTTGCATTCAGTTGATCTACCAAATAAAAACACACTTGAATATAACAATTTTATTCCTTTGTAATTCAGTGATCAGATAATATGGCAACTATGATAGTAAATAGGTTCACAAACAAATACTTATTGTGAATTAAAAGATGAATACACACACAAGGTCAAGATCGTAAGGCAATCTTTGAATATGAGTGATAAGGGCAATAATACTTACTTAGCACACTTGTACCAAACATTTAAACCATACAATAACAATGGCTGAACACGAATGTGGTTTAATTGTATGGTATCTATCTTGAATGTGTGATCTCCAGTGGAATCCATCGCCTTTTCAAACCAATAGAATTCCACTTTAGAGGGGGTCGTTTCTAAAATGGAACCCTTCTCAAACATACCACATATTGCGGCATGTGACAGTTCCAAAGATGATTAATGTCTCCAATCAGGACACTGCAACATCTTCACTTTTCTTAGTTTACCTAAATTATTTCAAGTCTTTGATAGGCTTTAGAAATTGGGAGAACATGAATACATGACACTTTTATATTGATGTACTAAGAATAAAAGAAGTTACTATCCATAAAAAAAGTGTTATGTATATATTATTTTAGATTTTTAATTGTACATTAGCATTTGAACGAAGAAGGCATTCTATGTATGTTGATAAACCCTTTACTAATGTTAAATAGTAAGGAATGTCAACGTTCAATCACCTTGCAAGACATACATTTAACCCCGTTAATCACAGCCACATACATGTTTATACAAACCATTACTCACAACGATATATCAAATGTTGATTCCGTGCGGATTAACGGGGTTCACTGTATACAGGTAGTGGGTGATGAAGACTAAAACAAGTGTGAGGAAACTCGTAGGAAGACCTGCTCCCTAATGGTAAAATATCACAATGAAGAAAACCGAAGCTGCCATTGTATGCAAGTTAACATACAGTGTACCGTAAAAATGAAACATGTTAGTGGTTCAGAAACCGTCAGTGCAAACCGAGTCCGCACGCAAATGGTTGAGATATAAGACTACTTCTAATAAATGGAATGATGACAAGATTCATATGAACCACATGCACCACATGCGCCACAATTGACGAACAATGATTTTATCACATACATTTCTGAAAGAGTGGTAGTGAGGTGTATAGTATTATGTATAATTCGGAATTACAATGCTGCAAGATGTGCTGAGAATATGATACATTATGTGAAACTTAAAAACAACAGTCACATATCTCAATATCAACGAATATATTCTGTAATTTGCACACTGCTTATTATTCATAATCACAGAAACGAAATTGTGATATTTCGTCAATAACCTGAGTATAGATCTAGAGACTTGAAAACGGTAATGTCCAGCTGAAACACTTTTGTGCACTAGTATGACATTTCCATTAACATTGTTTTTGTTTTTGTCAATAAACAAACAAACAAACAAACAAACAAACAAATTAAGGTGAATGTATGTACAAACATGTCCGTCATTGACCTCCGTGTGTGTATGGCAGTAGTAGTAGTAGTAGTAGTAGTAGTAGTAGTAGTAGTAGTAGTAGTAGTAATCAACAAGTTAAAATAATGACAGAATTGCCTTTGAATTAAAGTAAATAAATATAAATCATTGAGTGTTATCTTATTTCCCTTCAGAATTATTCCAACAACCATCTAACGACACCACTGCCCATAAAAAAGGGCAAATACTTTCCGTACCGTGTGCTGACGTCATTGTGCTTGGAACTGAAATCATATAGCCTTTGTGGCAACTGCGTCAGACTGAATTTAGTACGAAATGTGCATACCAGTGGTGTGAACTGTAATGACACCAACAGTATAAAGGGTCCAGCTTATCTCTGTTGTAAGTGGTTTAAGGGATTGCCAATCCAATAATAAGCTTTTCTTGTAAATTTATACGTATCATATTAACGTGGAGAGCGGTTGATTCCCCGACGTTTCTGAATAAAACATACACTGTCTGTGGCTTAGCAGACAACACAGGTCCAGAAACGCTTTTGAGCACACCAAAACTTCTTTACAGAATGAGTCTGTGAGTGAGTGAGTGAGTCAGTCAGTATTTCAGTTATGTGGAGGCGTTTCACCTTAGCTTGAACGGGCTGCAGGTGCGAAATGCACGACTCGTGTATTCTGCTCACGAATCTTGTATTCAACGTAACGTGGGATTATGAAATTCGGTACTAATACCTCATCTTGCCCACTTTGACAGATATGCGGAAATGTAGTCGTACCATAACTTTTGCGGTTCTGGACTTCTGAAGCGTTTCGCAACGTCAGCACGCGCCGTACTTAGATAAGACAGTTTAGTTAAGAAAGGTTTGTCAAAAGACACTTGATAATAGAAAGCATGAACATGCAAAGTCAGTGATAAAAATGGCGCCATGGATGTCCGTATCGTGGTTACCATGAACCTAACCACAAAGAAATCTCAGTCCCAAAGTACAAGTACCGACTTATCGACATAACCGTTGTTCGCAAATATATGCGTGTAATATACCCACATAAGCGTAATGAAAGAAACACCAGGTTCAAGAAACACAAACAGTTGAAAGAAGTATATTTTCCATTTTGTAAAGAAGTTGTTTCCATTTTGCACGAAGTGGCTGTCCCGTCTCGCTAACTTCGATTCACACTAACCTGTCGTCGTCGTGCCTGTCTTGCCCTAGGCGCGTTATTCCGAGACAGATTAAGTCTTATCTCGCACATCCCCGTACCACGAACATTAATCCGGGCAAGAGGTAACCCCATATGTCATAAGGCTGTGTCTTGTGCCTGCTCTGCACGTGGAGAAACCGTCACGTCACGTGGTAGGGTAGATATCAACAGACTTATGTCCGGATTTCTGCTCGATCGCCGAAAGATAAGTACATACTTTGAGCACTTATAGGACGGGTTGAGATTACATAATCTCCGCAGATCCCGCTTAAAGTTGGAATTGAACCACCCATAGATGATCGGATTAACGCAAACTGATGTAAAGGCAACGAGCACACACACGGCGTGGATCAGCGGAAAGTCGGTGTGTTCAAATGTACGATAGTCAATATCAGCTATGATGTTCACTAATGTCAGTGGAAGCCAGGATACTACGAACGACACTGCCATGCTTGTCAAAAGGAGAATATTCTTACGATGTCTGGACAATTTCCTGCGAATGTTGTGCATATCCCTCATTTGTGCACCCCGTGTGTGAATCCTTACTCCGAGGAACTGACATATTTTAACATGAAGGGTTATTATAGCAACCATCGGTGACAGATACTGGATTAATAGAACGAATATAGTGTATATTGTCAGTAGAATATAGGAATTCCATTTCTCACGGCAGATAGAGTACAGGGGAACTCCATTAAATCCAATGACGTGTTCCACTTCATGGGTCAGGAATATTGGGAGCGCTACGAACAATGACGCAGCCCATATAGCTGGGATTACAAATCTCGTTATCTTCACATTCCGATCCTTTCTTGACGTGTATAGAATTGCCCTGTACCTGTCCACAGCCAGTGCTAAGATCGTCAGTGTTGATACGAGCACGTAAGTTGTTTGTAAAGTAGGCACAAGTTTGCACATGAATTCGCCGATATCCCAGTTCTTTAGGATCATCCTCAGGATGAGAAAGGGTTTACAAAACATACAAGTCAAAATGTCCGACACGGCTAGATTGAAGATGTACCAGTTTCGACTTGACTGTGACGCCCTTCTCCGCAAGATGACCAATCCAACAGTAATATTACCTGAGATACCTATAAGCATGAGCAAGGAAAAACTCAAGATGAGACAGAGTTCTGTAAGCCCATCGAACCAGCGATCGGATTCCTTATATTCCGTAGCAACCTTCATGAAGTCTTCGAGAGAATAGTTCCCCGATCTGTCCAGATCCGACATGTCGAAATAGGCATATAAATCCGCCGGAAGTAGGGACATCAGGTCCCCAGAACTCTTGTTCCCAGCAGTTATCATGTTGCTACCATGAGCTGTTTACAAACGTGCCATGGATAACTTATTCACCAGAGGCCAACCGAATGTCATCACCGAACCTGCAACCATACGGGCGACGCATTGCCGTTACAAGGATCACCTAGCCTGTGATGAAATATCTGTTTCGTGTAGCTTCTTGATCATTCAAAAAGCATTCGGTTGCCATGTACCAAGTGTGTGTCACATCAGTCGTAGAACCAATTATCGTCTCACCAGCAAGCCGTGTTTTGAGCAGGAAGGAATCCTTCTATGCGTGTATGACAATCATGTGAGATGGTCCTTGTTAATCACCTTTACTACACAACATCTATACCGCTATTAATTTAAACAAAATCGATCGACTTCCAATTTCCCATACACATGTCCATTAGGATATATAGTCACTCGGTGTACTCAGGAAGCATATCAAGTTTTGTCTTCATTAAGTAGATGTATCGAGGATGATGACCCTCAGATGAACCGTGCGGGTTGTCAGTTAAAAAACACACAGAAACCAGCAGAGTCCATGACAATTACTGGCTAGATTGATCAGCTTGCCTGTCTGCTGTAAGTCCGCCTTGAACTCGACAATGAGAGATGTCCGTCACAAAATCACAGAGTTTGCTGACTCTCACTTCAAGAGCCTTGTTTTCTGCGATATGTGCTTTGAATCAAACCACCGCGAGTGTCAGCTGACTAAGGCTTGGTGTTCCCTGTCCCGTGCTTGATTCCTTGTGAACCCGCCATGCTCGAACATCTGGAAACAGAAAAACACATCTGTTGATACTGAATGTGATATCGGTATTGATTTGCAGGCTGCAGGTGCGCGTTATAGACGATAAGAAGAAGGGCACTATTCTATTAAAGTCATGTGTTGTACATAAAATAACACAGGAGGTGGGTATGTGGCGTACCACACCCGGTATTTTAAAAGTCGACAACATGACGTATTTAAGATACATTTTTTATGCATTATTAAAATAGATACAGCAGGTTAATTCTCGCTCTCAAAGGCAGTGTGTAAAATGATACACACAATCAAAGTCGCAACATTGGCACAGTGCCACCATATTGTGCCTTAATTAAAAAACCATGAGGAACCGATCATTTCATATTCTGGGGGAAGAGAGACAAGATGTATTGTGCCTTAACTCAAAAACCATGAGGAACCGATCATTTCATATTCTGGAGGAAGGGAGACAAGATGTATTGTGCCTTAACTCAAAAACCATGAGGAACCGATCATTCATATTCTGGGGGAAGTGAGACAAGATGTATTGTGCCTTAACTCAAAAACCATGAGGAACCGATCATTTCATATTCTGGGGGAAGGGAGACAAGATGTATTGTGCCTTAACTCAAAAACCATGAGGAACCGATCATTTCATATTCTGGGGGAAGGGAGACAAGATGTATTGTGCCTTAACTCAAAAACCATGAGGAACCGATCATTTCATATTCTGGGGGAAGGGAGACAAGATGTATTGTGCCTTAACTCAAAAACCATGAGGAACCGATCATTTCATATTCTGGGGGAAGGGAGACAAGATGTATTGTGCCTTAACTCAAAAACCATGAGGAACCGATCATTTCATATTCTGGGGGAAGGGAGACAAGATGTATTGTGCCTTAACTCAAAAACCATGAGGAACCGATCATTTCATATTCTGGGGGAAGAGAGACAAGATGTAATTTGCCTTAACTGAAAAACCATGAGGAACCGATCATTTCATATTCTGGGGGAAGGGAGACAAGATGTATTGTGCCTTAACTGAAAAACCATGAGGAACCGATCATTTCATATTCTGGGGGAAGGGAGACAAGATGTATTGTGCCTTAACTCAAAAACCATGAGGAACCGATCATTTCATATTCTGGGGGAAGGGAGACAAGATGTATTGTGCCTTAACTCAAAAACCATGAGGAAACGATCATTTCATATTCTGGGGGAAGGGAGACAAGATGTATTGTGCCTTAACTCAAAAACCATGAGGAACCGATCATTTCATATTCTGGGGGAAGGGAGACAAGATGTATTGTGCCTTAACTCAAAAACCATGAGGAACCGATCATTTCATATTCTGGGGGAAGGGAGACAAGATGTATTGTGCCTTAACTCAAAAACCATGAGGAACCGATCATTTCATATTCTGGGGGAAGAGAGACAAGATGTATTGTGCCTTAACTCAAAAACCATGAGGAACCGATCATTTCATATTCTGGGGGAAGGGAGACAAGATGCATTGTGCCTTAACTCAAAAACCATGAGGAACCGATCATTTCATATTCTGGGGGAAGGGAGACAAGATGATTTTTCAGCTACAGCTACAAAACCAGATATTTGTTTAATCATAACTATGAAACTCTTCACAAGCCTGTATGTATGACAAGAGGGATGACTTCAACTTACCAATAGTCAACTTTCCCTCCATGTCGAACAATATTCCAGCAGCTCAAGCTTTTGGCGTGTACATTTCACAACTTCTTGCCCCTTTGAGCAAGAGTCATATGGGTTCGATTAAACCCCAGGCGGTGTGAAATGTTGACAGCAAAGTCTGGAGCTGCTGGAATATTGCTCGACATGGACGGAGAGTTGATTATTTGGAAGTCGAAGTCATCCCTTGTGTCGTTCCGTCTTGTGGACAGTGTTTGTTCATTATGAATCTTTATGCACATACGTTTTATGAAACGATGATGGGGTTACTAACGATACACGGGACCTTTGTCAGGTTAGTTGCTTTTCCTTTGTATTGATCGAATGGCATTACTTTCAAATAGTGTTGGCCTATTTTCGTGGAACATAAGCGTTGGTTGACATTTGAAGAGATTGGATGTAATATTGAGGTTCTCGGAGAGGGTAACTAGATCATTTGTTCCCTATCCCTGCCTCAACTGATCCGGCATTGCGCAATTAAATTACGAAAGGCGTTTGATATGACTGGAATTAGTTTTGCGATGTAGGCATTAAGGTGCCAAAAACAGATTCTGATGATGCATCAATATCAGTATCAATTATTTTTAGTAAAATATATATGCATAGTTTGTTGAATGTTAGCTTTCGAAACATTAGTCAGTATTAGTCTGTTCCAGGAGACCGAGCAGCTAAACACTTTTCAGCAGATACAACAGAGCAATGGACAAACATGATAATCATGGTATTAACAGACATCACGCGTTTACACATTTGAGCAATGGACCTGTATGTGTATGGGCGTAAATAATCAAGGCCTGTGAATTTTGTTTCTTTGATGCATTCAATCAATCAATCAATCAATCTTTATTCATGGTACTTATGAGGCCAAAGGCCTATAGTACAATGTGTGGGGCGTGTTACAAATTCATACATTTTCTTAGTTTCATGGCATGATAAATGAACATTGATAGATTTCTAATAGTTTCTGTACAATCACAAGTCATTAATTTACAAAATGACTTGTGATTGTACAGAAACTATTAGAAATCTATCAATGTTCATTTATCATGCCATGAAACTAAGAAAATGTATGAATAATGCATTCTTAAAGCAATTAAATACGATACCGCGACATAAGATTTAACAGTATGAGTGAGTGACTGACTGAATATGGCTTTACTCCGCTTTTAACAATATTCCAGCAAATTCAAGCAGGGGTACACCAGAAATGGGCTTCACGCATTGTTCCCATGTACGGAATCGAACCCAGGTTTTCGGCGTGACAAGAACATTCTTTAACCATCAGGCTACCCAACCTCCCCCTACAACAGCGTGAACACAGTATGTCGTTCACTTAAGTGGTTAGCAAAGCAACCACCAAATGATTTTATTCGCTGTGCTTTATAAACATCTTCATTGATCAGCTGTGCATTCACTGTAAGATATTCAAGGCCATTGGTTTAAAAAAATTACACATTAATGTTAATATCCTGTTGTTGATTGTCTCAGAAAGTAAACCTGTTGTACAGTGAATAACCAGTCTCGATTATCCAATGAAACAAATTCCATTGTCACATACAACAGAGGTAAACATTATATGAATGGATCACTAAAAATCAGTGATAACTCCAGGTGTTTTGCCCGGAGAAATAGGACCGGTGGCATATTCAATGACACGGGTTATAACTTTCCAAACCGCATTACCAAGTTCTGCAGAATCGTTATTCTCAAGGATTGGCTGTTTCCCCAACACAATAATACGCTCATGGGTTTCATCAAAGTTGTAAAATGTCTGAGATCTGCGTCACTTTGGTTTTTACCTCCCACATTACACTAGCTCGCCGTGATATGACTAAATGCTGGTCAAACTGGCATGACACTGAATTCACACTACTCAAGACGTACAGCGAACAATAGATGCTACTTATGCTTTCATAATATCTGAATCCAAGGATAATATCACATTAAAGAAAGAGCAAAAAGATCTGTTGTTCATTTGATTGATGCTATTTGCGCCTATTCTAAAATACATTGAAGACGTCACTGCAATCACAGCTGGTTATCAAGATCTGTGTAATCATCGGATTGGAGAATTCCCATAACGGTAAATCATTCTTAAGCTGCACAGGAAGGGACGATCGTAAAACGAATTACCAGCACGATGTACGGCAAAGGTTTCGAAAGCAGTCTTGTTTCAGAAATCCGTAGTATTTTTGCTACAATCCAAGGGATTTCACCAAGCACGCCAATTAGCTCGTCAATTAGCTCGAGTAGTCTCGCGAAAAATAGCAACTGGTGTCAAATATAGAAAATAGAAAGCCCTCCAGATCCCCTGTCAGGGACTGCATTAGTGCACCAGCAATTCGCCGTGAAGGTAACGCCAAAAGCACATGACATTCTGATACACACATGGACACACGAAGATGATTGATAGTAATGCGATATTACTTAAGCCAAACCCGCATCAACATCGCCTGTGTTTCTTAAACTGATTTATTTATGTTTTATCAACTGTTGCAGCTGATGGAATGCAATGAGTGAGTGAGTTGGGTTTAACGTCGCTTCGAGCAGTTTTCCACTTATATCATGGCGCGTCAGCATAATGTGGGATCGAAACCCGAAGTGAGGCAAGGCTCAGACGTTTATCACTTTTGTGAAACCCACGAGCACGGTGCCCATGGTGCTGACAAACCCAGGAAAAAAGGGGACCCGAACCGATGATCGTAGGTTTCTGGCGTGTCAAAGGAACACAGCGCATTGTGGAATGCAATGACATCAAATATGAATGTAATGGCGTTCTAAAATAACTATCGACGTCAGATGTTTACCAAAACAATATACGACGTTGGAAAAACATAGGGAAACTGCTTCCGTCATTATCACTGTAACTAAATACATGTATACAATAGAATTTGTAAGGATACGTATACGTTGACAAGTGCAGCGTTTAGTTTGTAGGAGGACGTACATTACGCAGCGGTGCTATCACGGCATATAACCGTATTTCACAAGATCTTTCAACCAAAAAATTATGAGTCCTTAAAAGGCATTTAGAAATGAAACACAAAAGGAAGACAATTATGGATGCAACTTTGATTAATATGAGGAACACAACATTTGGCAGTATATACTATTATTTATTCTCTTCCTCTTCTATCGATAATACGCGAAACCAACGAAGGTTTGGCTTTACCCATGGCAAACGCGTTTACAATGAAGTAACCTTTTTATGGTCGCAATGGTTACAAGTATAAGCCATTAACTAATGATACAGCAAATGCATCATTTGCAAGATGAAAGAAGATAGTTTTACATTCACATCTCGTATATCCTTGTAATTAAAATATCAACGATTGTTGTGTTCCGAAACGATCAAAACCTCCCTCCATTTCCACGACGTGTTCATGTACGAAGTAAGCAAAGCGGATCGTTAACTTGGAATAACGGTCACAGCCATTGCTGCTGTTAACGAGCTGTCAATGAAGGTTCCCTCACTGTACCACGGTCGCTTAACATTCATCCATCAGATGAATACAACTTCCATAGCCAATGGTAGAGTCGACCATCAGATAAACACAACTTTTATAGCCCACGGTATGGGGGATATCCGATCTACGAACACGAGTAGAATCACCGATCTATAAACACAAGTAGAAGCCAAATAGATTTCGTATCCATTACGGTTGTCTAAAGCATTGTATTAATACATTTTATATAGCTTTGCACTGCTCATATTGAGGTGCTTTGATGGTCTGGAACAATAAGCTAACCACGTATCACATCCAGATCGATCTACATGTAGTTGCAAGTCATTGAACGCCATCAGACGGCAGCGGTTTAAGTGCCACTTGATCTTGATAAAGGGGCTTTTGTCATCGATTTTACCTAAATCTTTGCAGTCCGTAGCTCACTCAAAATAAACCCAATATTGGAATATGTTAAGGAGGATCCTTTATTGGGTGTTGTTATTATAGAAACCAGTGTCCTAAAGGTTATGTTGTCTGTGCTACCAGTTAATCTCTTCAAATTGTTAGTACATCGCAGGCGATAGGAATTAAATATACATGTTGATCGCCAACACAGAGATCCGATGTGGTGACATCAACTGAGGATATCACGAAGGGGGTATTCATTGGCTATGGGACGGTGTGGCGTGCTTGTGTGTGCTGGGCATAAACATAACATGGGGTTGCAAAGGGGTATGTACTTGGAGCCGTGAGGGTGTAGCCATCTCATGCGTGGGTACGTGGGTGCGTGCGTGTTTGTGTGCATGTTTATCTGTCGGTATTTGCTGCGATCGGTTATTTATTTAACGATGGGGATTGGGTAGTATTTGATGATTGATGAAAAGGGTTGTGTTCTTGGCGATAGATGAAATGTATTAAAGGTTTTTTTACCAGTCTAACATCATCCAAAAAGCTCAGTAAAGCGAGAACGTTTATAGTAGACATGTGGAGGACATTTCAAAATTTGACCGATGCAATTCCCAATGATGACTTGTTTCCTAGTTCAGAAAACAATTGACTTGCCTTAGCATGTCTTGTGACGGGTGCTACCGGTGTGACAGGATATTTTCGCGAATACTGACATCATCACGATTAAATAAAACAAATGCTCATAAGAAAATCGGAATCGTTCTATGGACTGTGATTTTAGTTTCTTATGGATTTTCTTATAATTATTGGATAGTTTTTTATTGTTTTTTGTGTACTGGGTTATTGGTGGAAAAGGTTATTTCTATTTAGGGGACTTTACACCATGCACTTTTTCAGGTGCATAAATTATAACATAAAGACATCTGTATTAAATTAAGATTGACTGCAAACGGAAGAACACTATTGTTATGGCTCATCGGATAAACACATTCAAAATAATATTTGCGTTCAAATAACAACAGTTGAAAGAGATGAGGGCATATGGTTATTTAGCAAATTTGGATCTCGTCTATCGACGTAACCGCGACACGAGGACGGTCCTTCAAAGTTAAGGATGCGCCTCTTTTTCAGTTTTGATTTCAGTGATCACCCGTTTGTCTGCGATCAGGCAGGCTCGAGTAATTCCAGAAGTAGGAGAGAAAAACAACATTTAAGGAAAATAACGAAAAAAGAAACTTTCTTTTTCAAATTGGACAATAGTGTGATATAGACATGCATCTGGACAAATTGAACCTTGAATGGTGGCAAGAACTCGTCGGGCACTGTTGGTGTAATTATCTGGATCGGAAGTTTCTTTCTTATTTGTCTTTTTTATATTTTTCGCATACTGCATGTACTACGTTTAATGCTCTTGAGTGTAAGACAGTGATATTGGTTGAAAATAGTCATGTTTAGTGCATGCAGATGCTTAAAACCACAACCTTAAGGAAAACTAACTTTGCACTTCCAAGAATCCTGTATAAATGAAGCAAGTACAATTTGATTTCATTTCTCCATATCTTTTGTAAGATATCTACAGCTATCATCTGTTGTTACCTACCGTGAGGCTTGAAACAGTTTACAAATGTTCCAACTCCTTGGTCCGAGATGCAAGTCTGTTATCTCAGCTACTGTATTTCGCCTCGGTGAACCTGCAGTCATATAATTGCAGCACTTAAAGCTATCTGTCAGCTCAACAACTGCAGCGCCTAATGCACATCATTAGTGGCGCCCTTACACATGAATGAAGACAGACCGATATGGCCTGGCCGATCTCCAAGGTCAGCAGGCACCATTGCCACCAGTGGGGATTGTGTTGTTCCCTGGCGTAAACACAGATGGCGCCGAACCAGGCCGAGTTAGTATTGTCTATCAGTGGGTAATCACCTTGGTAAACATAGGTACAATGCAGAGGTTCAATATTTGACTTAAACGACTGTAATACCATGGGGTAGGGGAGAGAACGCTTCTGTGGAGCATGACTGAGTAAACATCATGTGTAATGAATAATGTATTATCTCTCGTGGAGATATAATAATAATATAAATACTAAAGTATGATTAAATAATGCAATTAGTAGACCGTTCATTGAGGTACCAATACTGCTACCTGTCCACGGTTACGGTACTTTAGCTTTGTATTGTGCCTGCATAAATACGCAAGGAAATATATGCATGTTTCAGCTGTTGTTTAATGCACAATTCACTAAGGCATGACAACGAATATTTGAGATAGGCATTGCTATTTGCAAAAGCGACAAAATCCTTTCCATATTCATAAGAATTCTCTGCTAAACGGTGAGTCAATTGTACGATTCCGACTGTATCATTAGTATGTGTTAATGAAATAGTGATATCAGGTGTTCAGTGATATCAGGTGTTCGCGAAAAGGTGGTAACCATCACAAACACATGCAAAGGCAAGTCAATTGTTTACCTGAAAATACATGGGACAAATGGTACAAGCCACGATAGGGAATTGCATCGGACATTACTTTTGTCACTGATGCGTCCTCCACCAGTCAACCATAAAACTTTTTGAAAGCTTTACTGAGAATGAAAAGGTTCATGGAAACTGTCATTGCGTGTAACGATCTCATATATTGCGTTGATACAGGTCGACGTGATTAATGATCATCTCTAAAAGGGGGGCACGGGTGACCCAGTCGTCTAAGGCGCCGCGCTCCGCTGTGCAGAGTTGGGTCCCTTGGGCACGCCAGAAACCTTTAATTGTGGGTTCGAATTCCGGTTCGCCCCGATTATGTTTCTAGGTTTGTCAGCACCATACCCGTGCACGTTGGTTTCACCGAAGTGGTAAATGTCCGTGATCTGCATCACTTGGGGCTTTCCTCCCACATTAAGCTGACACGCCGTGATACAACTGGAATAATGTTAAAAGCGGCGTTAAACCAAACTAACCCATCTCGAAAATAATGTCTATAAGATGTTGATATACTCGATACCCTTTTCAAATCTGAGTTGAGTTCAATTCATTGACTCACTCACGACTTGGTTTATCTTCTCCTTTACGTACATGAAAATTGCTCGCACTGAATTATATATTTGGAAACACCAATGACACCAGTGAAGGACAAGCCATTATGCAAGTAAACACAGATTTAGTACATATATAACTATAATTATTTATCTTCTTCCAACAAATGCGTGTATTTCCACAAGAAACGCGAGCACGTATTGCTAACATGAGCCTGGTGTGCTATGGGGGCGGTCGGGTAGCCTAGTGGTTAAAGCGTTCGCTCGTCACGCCGAAGACCCGGGTTCGATTCCCGACATGGGCACAATGTGTGAAGCCCATTTCTGGTGTCTCCCGGTGTGATATTGCTGGAATATTGCTAAAAGCGGCGTAAAACCATACTCACTCACTCACTGGTGTGCTATGTGAACATTATTTTACTTTACCATTTAAATTTTTATGCTCGTGTCCTGTTACTATGTGTCCTTATTTGAACAAGAGATGCTTTCACAATTACGTTATTAGTAAATGCCATTTGCAGAGGGCTGTATTCCCGCCCTTGATGTAATTGAAATCTTGTAATCCGATGATATTATATTATGTGAACTTTCTTACTTAATAGCATTGGAAAGAAGTTAGTCTACACATTTACAAACACGTTTTAGATATGGTATCTTTGAAACAAGGACATACATATATGCTATGTAGCAATGGTGCTAGTTCTCTCTTTTAATTCCAATTTCCCCCTAAAAGAGGAGCAGTTTACACTGAAGGATATCATGATGCTACGCTCCTAGCAACTGTTTAACTGACTGTACATGTTGTTTAAATGTTTGTTCATCACAGACAATTATATCTGCGATGAGCACAGTTTAATTTTCAAATAAACGTTGATCGTGATTGGCGTATGAAATTGCATGATGTTCGCTTTGTCAAATTGAAACGTCCTTATGTTCTTTATTAATTTAAATCTTCTGAAAATAACTTCTCCAATGTTTTGTCCTTGAAGTTACCAGCTTTAAATAGCATTGGGGGCAAAACGAAGTTAGTGGGTGGTCGAGTAGTGAACATTGAGTGTATAAAACATCGGATTCTGATCGATCCGAATGAATTAGCGTGCCTCAAAAAGATGCTAGGAAAAACTGGAACGAAAACAGCAATTTACCTGCAGAGGGTTTTTTCTTAGATCGCATCGTGAGAAGATTCCGGATGCATACATGTGATTAAACACGTTTGGGATTAACTGGCTGAACATTTCTTCCGTTCCTGATCTAATCCTAGTACCAAAAGAGATTTCTTATTATTATCGAAATGTTTTTGGTAGTTTTTTATTTATAATGTATGTCAGTTGTTTAGCTCACCTTACTGACTTGGACTGAGGTTGTGTCTTATACACCGACGGATGGGGTCATACTGTGTCAAAGTTATAAGTTTATACGCCAGCCCAAGATATACATATTTGTACATTATACACCTTAAATCCCAAATGTATTTTTATATACGATCGCGAAGTTAAAGTTCTTCATCTTCTTTGATATAATAATATGATTCAATAATTACATACAAATACCTGCATTAGAAGAACCGTGCATATTAAAATTACCGTTAATCCTTTCCAGCGCATCTGTATTATGACCGTCCTTAACACGCCCACCAATCCACAAGTCAAGAAAACAAGAAAGATCGGCATGAAATTGTTGTCAGAGAAGAAAATATTCCTGGTGGTTCTGTAACACCGTTCATTACGCAAACATAAATGTAAATCCTTCAACATAATTGCATTGTTCATGTCAACAACAAAGATATAAAACAATCTTGCAATATTGATTAGTGTCTTTGGAAGCAAATATTTGTTATATGAAGTTGTTCGTATTTCATCAGTTAATTGAGGTGGTGTGGTTCCCAAAGGGTTAATGAGAGAGGCCCTAATTGGGTATGCTATGTGAAACTCTGTTGTTCCCCGTGTTATCCTTTGATATAATTGAATATATGATTGATCGCCACTGATCCATTTCTATTATAATGTCACAGCTATTTTGCCTTTAACGCCCAATGGAATCTCTGTGGATAATCGAGACTGTGTTATCCCTTTGCGTTGACGTGTTTTATATATTTGATGAGGTTGACGTCAACTGAAAAACTGTTCGTCTTTGGAGACCTCAGACACGGTTTGGATCCCAACATCCCCGGTGTAATGCCATCGAACCCCACCGTCATATATGTAAAAAGGGAAGAATGACCATCACTCTTAACGTACATGTACATCTATTGAATGCTGCTTTAATAAACGGACAGCCTCTGTAGTCTAGTGGAAAGAGCGGTGGTTCGATCCCCTGTCCACGTCATATCAAAAGATGTTAAAAGATGGTACTTCTTGTTACCCTGCCTGGCGTTCGTCATTGAGTACGGACTGGTCAGTTCGGAGTCAGTACACTGTTCCTGAGTGGTTTATCCATGTTAGACTGCGGCATGGTAACGCGGTGGATATTTGCAAGCATTATTAAACTAGTACAAGCACCCACACACTCGTGTGCATGCATATCGCCATATAAGTGCAATAATCTTGATCGCGACGTTAAAGCCCATTTCACCTCACCACTGCTAATGAACGTCTCTTGTCTTTCTTGTATTAGCTCTGATGAAGTCGAGTATCGTTAAAGGACTTACTATTATTAAGCACGGAAACAGTGGAGCTGGAATTGCGTTCCTTAAAGGCCCCTCCACTACACCTTCTAGACGATGAAAGGCTACTTCACTCTGATAACACAAGTGTTGCAGAGACTATACTGATGTCCGCAGATAAACCTAGCCAGGTTCAGTCTCGCATATCGAGCATGTTCAAGTTCAAAGAAACTGCCAACACGGATTCCAGGCTGATTCGTAGGTGGCATGTTTACGGATGTCTTGTCTACAAAAGATAAACCAAGACAGGCGTGTTGGACCATACTGTTAGTATTCTCAGCTTCCAAGCTATCAAGAGTGCGTGTGCGCCAAACTAGGAAAAAGAAGCATGCTTTTACTGATATCAAACCTTATGTTCTAAACATCAGTAGTTTCTCTCAGTTCGGAGCATATAAGATGTATCTTAGAAAACGGGGAAAAATATGTTTATGTTTTGAGTAGAACATTATTAATAAACTATTCCAATTTTATATTTGATTGTTAATAAAGGGAAAGAGACTACTCACTTACTAATTGATGTCACTTGTATTTCTTTTAAACGTTTGATTACCTGAACGCGGAAATAATCTGACTGCACAAACTAGTAATTGATATTATTTACGATGTCCCAAGCCATCGAGGTACGATGACACGAAACGAAACATGTCACAGAGCCTTACAACTCAATTAAGTTTTATTTAGGAGGTTACTTTCAGGAGGGATCAGTTCTATCTCAGGATCTTATCCACCAACATCAAAACGAGCACAACCACCATCAGTACCAACACACCATGATATGTACCGATCTTCACCATCACAACCAACTACCAATACAACCACTATAACGACATCGCCACCAACTTCAATTGGTCCCATCATATCCACAACCACTACCACCATCAATTCAACCACCATCTCAACCACAACCATCAACTACACGAAGCCATCGCCACAGCCATAAACATCACCACCACCGCCGCCACCACCTTCATCCTCATTATCGTCACCACCGCCACCAC